TATAGCTAACTTAATGCTGATTATGTCATAGCTATTTCAATTCGGCGTGAGGGTATATGTTATAGCTAACTTAATGCTGATTATGTCATAGCTATTTCAATTCGGCGTGAGGGTATATGTTATAGCTAACTTAATGCTGATAATGTCATAGCTATTTCGAGTAGGCGTGAGGATTTCTGTTATAGCTGACCTAATGCTAATAATGTCATAGCTAATTCGAATGTTACACAGGAGCTTTCTTCTTAATGAATCCCTGTCGTCACTGGCACTATTAGTCAGTTTGGGGATTGAACGAAACAGATGTAATCATGCAAGGCCTTCGTTGTTTGTGTATTTGTATATATTTGTATATTTAGATTGTATTCGGTAATATGAATTACACAAATACCAGTACACATACTTGCATATAAATGTTCACCGGTTTCTGTACGTCTTTAGTAGAAATGTGACTTAATGCATTAGTGTAACGCTCTTTTAAACATGCATACACAAATTTGATATCTACTTTTGATGTCAGAACGTTACCTATTATGAAAAGGATAATCATGAAAAAATGTTTCCAGAAATCAACGTCAAGAGACATGTACTGATCCAATGATTGTTGGTGACTAGATATTGCTTCAACTCACGACACCAATGTTCCTTGGCGCCCTTCCACAAAGCGATCTTTGCGTTACGGCTGTCGTAAGTCAGTGTTGAAGTATGGGGGGTTACGATCATCTTAACGCTTAGTTCGCTCTGACGAAGGGGGGGCTGATATTCAGAATACGTCTACTCAGTGAAAATTGATTTGTAAACAGTAGTTTCCGATCAAATGGACAGACGTTCTCAAGGCACTACTACTGGTGTGTGTCATCGTGCCTTGACGGTGTGCATCGCATCTGACACTGGTTTGCCTGGCCCAGGCTCTATCATTTACAGAATGCTGTTCTAAAGCTGTCATTTTTCTGATTGTGGCGTAAACCGACATTCATTCACTTATCCGCGATTAGTCTAATTGACACAAAAGTATTAAATATATACTGAACAACAAAAGTTCCTGTGACATTGAATAAGATTTAATGCAAAGTTATGTATTTTTACCAAATCTGAAACAATTTCGGTTTGCAACAGATAAAAGACTCCTGTAAGTGTTCAAATGGTTTAATTTGCCCTACTGACTTCAGAAAATGCTTGATTTCATAAAAAAAACATGAACATGCCAAAATGTCAATTTACAAATCAATAGCGTGTGTGTTCACCTCTGGTTGCGATGCAAGCAACACACCTTCGTCTCATGGAATGGACCAGGCGTCGCATAAAGTCCTGTGGGATATCTGTCCACATCTGCTGGAGAATGTTTCGAAGTTCCTGGAGTGTCTGTGGAACACGTGGTTGACGTCGAAGGCGCTGATCCATCTCATCCCACATGTGCTTGATTAGTGAGGGATCAGGGGAGCGAGCCGTCCAGGGGATGACATTCACGTTGTTTTGTTGAAGAGAATCCTGAACAAGTCGAGCAATATGAGGCCGGGCGTTGTCGTGTTGAAAGGTAATGGCTGGGCCATGACGACGCAAAAACGGTAGAACAACAGGGCCGATGATCTCGTCGCGGTAGCGCTGTCCATTGAGATTTCCCTCTACCACTATCAAACGGGTCCTCTGTCTTGCTGTAATCCCACCCCATACCATAACGCTGCCGCCCCCGAACCGGTCTTCTTCCATGACACAATAATTGACGTAACATTCATCTCGACGTCGGTACACTCGAATCCGTCCATCGCTGTGGCTGAGGTGAAAACGAGACTCGTCAGTGAATAGAACTTGTCCCAACTGCATGGCCGTCCAGCGTAGACGCTGTCTGCACCACTGTTGACGGGCTTGACGGTGGTTTCCTGTCAAAATAGAACGTGTAGCGGGTCTTCTGGCGACAATCCCTGCACATCTGAGGCGACGAAGTACGGTTTGTGAAGATATTCGTCGAAGGCCAGGGTTGCTACTTGCAGTCACTGTTGCTGGCTGGGATCGATTTCGTAGGTGTGTTGTTCGAATCCAGTTGTCTTGTCGATTATTAGTTACGCGTGGCCTGCCACTCCGAGGAGGGTCTCTGACTGCATTCGTCTGTTGCCAACGTTGCCATAAACACCAAATGGTGTTTCTGTGGACGTTAAATTGTCTTGCAACATCACGTTGACTCGATCCTGCTTGAAGCATACCAATGGCTCGCAGATGCTCATTTTCGGACAGTTGTGGCATTTCGTAATGATGAATAATTGCGTAATTTTGTTGTTTTTCTGAGTGGTGGTTGTCAGCACGAAGCTAAACAATGCATATGAAATCCCGTTAACGCACATGTTTTTATACCCATTCTTGGGTAGTGAAATGCATGGGGCTTGCATAAAAGCCAATTTTTGCATGGAATGCATGCTTTTCAGTAGCAGTTGCGTTGACTTGATTCCATACATGTACTACAATATTGAAAACCAAACTTTACTTGTTTGAAAAATACACTAAAATATTGGTGTCACAGGAACTTTTGTTATTGAGTATATGTTTGTTTGGTCTGCATGATGAAGTAATACTATACTGATGTATCCTGTGGTGTATCGTATGATGTATCGTATGGTGTATCGTTTGATGTATCCTGTGGTGTATCGTATGTTGTATCTATGGTGTATCGTATGATGCCTCGTATGGTGTATCGTTTAATGTATCCTGTGATGTATCGTATGATGTATTCTGTGATGCATCCTATGGTGTATCGTATGATGTTACCTTTATAAGGTAAATCCTATGATGTATCCTATGATTTATCTATGATGTATCCTTTGTTGTATCCTAGCATGTATCCCATGCTGCATGGTATTCCAGCCTTACTATTGAGGTTCCTATCGCTTTGCGATGAAGGGTTTAAAACCGTTTTATTGTTTTCTAGCTCGTCAAATGGGATATTTGGTTCGAATCACCTCATGGGTACTGTTTCCACATCTTTTGGAGCAATTTACCGTGAATTGTCGTGAACACCATACCTTCACTTCAATGTACTCAGTAAAGTGGATCGATGCTCATGATGTCAATCACTGGATTATTATAGACTCGATTATTTATAGACCACCGTCATATTATTGGAATATTGCTGACAAACAGTAACCGGTACACCGCCCCTGTGGTCTAGTGGACAGATGGTCTGCAAGGGAAGCGCGAGGTCGGTTAAAAGATTGTTACCATGCCTGGTGATCGACATTAAGGGGATAGTCGGCTCGGGGTCACTGCGACGGGTATCCATGTTAAAACGACAGCATGGTATATCAGTGGGCTAGCAGCATAAAACCGACATTAGTCCCGACTAGTCCTAGCAAAAAAACTAACAACTAAACAAAAAAAACAAACACACATTATGCACGGGTTCCAGGGTGCTATCTATCCAAAAGATCAGCTATAGCAAATCACGGATACAACAAAGAGATTGTAACGATCCATGGAGTCGAGGGAGTGTTTGAACTGAGTGAAGGAGGTGAACATGTCATCAACAGTAGCTCAGCAACAAACTTAGAGATATGTTTTCTTTTGTATACTCGCTGTAAATATGCTTCACTGTGTAAATTAACCGAGCATAACAAACATGTACCCGTCTAGCGTAACTAATTACCAGTAACAATCATGCAGTGCTGAAAGGAAGCTTCGAAATCTCAGGCATGTTCTTATCAGTGGCTTAACCATCTTCCCGAGGCAAGGCGTTAGCTGACTTATAAATATGATTACGAAAATACAAGATGCAGGTCTCAGGTCTCAGACGTTAACCACTTCGGTGAAACCCACGAGCACGGGCATGGTGCTGACAAACCTAGAAACAAAATCGGGGCGAACCGGGATTCGAACCCACAATCATAGGTTTCTGGCGTGCCCAAGGGAAGCAACTCTGCACAGCTAATCGTGGCGCCTTAGACGACTGGGCCACCCGTGCCCCCCTTCCATAATCATAAGAAATCTCAGCTGATAGCACAGTCGAATGTACAAGTCCGACGCACTGAAACTGACGGGTGTTCGCAAAAAGGCGAATGTATGGTGTTATCAACAAATGAGGAAAAAGGTGAAGTGGAGTCGCACATACAAGTATACATCAACAGCCCTCTCTTTCTCTCTACCTCACTCTCAACCCCCGCCCGTCCAAACCCCCTCATTTCCTTCATCCGTCATGCCTGCATCCAAATTTATCCTACCAATCGTTATTTCAAGATACAAGCTCACAAACACATCTATGGTGATGGTTTCTGATTGTACAAAACCCCTTCAGGATTAAAAAAAGCAAACTGACATTGGCACATTTGTATATTGTGTAACCACCACTGAACACCTTTCATTCTTGTCATAATTATTACATATCCAAAGTAATTTCAAAAGCGTTTTCAGAGCATCTTGAGTTAACATTAACTCCAAACGTATACGAGTATCCCAGGTTGTAATACCTGTCAAAAGCTAATAGTCTTACACATGTGCAAGCACGTTATATGATTACATTTATAAGTCAACGCTGATAATATAATTTAAAAAGATAACATATGACACGCAAACTTCACATTTAAGACAACATTGATGTAACTTACTTTACCTGAGATTTACTTCAGGGAAAATTCATACCTATCAACACTATTGCAATACAAAAATGAATTGGGTAAGCTACTCTCTTCTATGAATGTTTCACAGAAAATGAAACTTTCAAACTCAGCTATTGCTCAGCAGAATTGCCACTTCAAACTTACGAATACCTTTCTATAGGAATAATTACTGCTTGGGTCCTGCATACAAGGGCCAATCCAAACGAACATAACATCTTTGATTTATACAACGAGGGCGTGAGAGACGTCACGCCCACCGAATACAATTCAATACGTGACGCTTTTTACTAGCAGAACGAACCCAACCAATAGGATATAGCGATTATATTTTGCGAGAACCTGTTTTGTCATCGAAGACCCGCCTATCGATAATTACACTTTTGGGGTATTTTACTTCTAGATTTGGGGGGTTGGTTTCATACCCAAACTTTCTTGGAGGTGAGCTGGTCTCAACACCCTCCGCAAGGCAACCAGATACTTACAAAAGTAGAAAGGATTACTTTTCACGAAGCACTGATATTTCGTTCACGGAAATACTTTCCATAGATGATGGGAGGTAAATATTTTTTTATTACTTTTCGTATTCTTGATGTACATTTTATACTTTAGATCCACATGTCGCGTGATCAATCATTTCCACATTCGATATTCCGATTTTCATTTAAACATTATATTACCATAAAGTGAAGACTATGAGGTACAAGTAACAATTTAGAACGCCAACACATACTACCAGTACATATATTAAGAGCGATTTTTCCAAATCCTTTTACTTTTTAACGCTGATAAAACATCTTTATCCCATTTACTAAAAATGACAAATCCTACGTATGAAACTACATAGATTATGCTGGTCAGCTGCGAATGCATGTGGATATACGTAAAGTATACTGTGTCCTTCGAGACATATTAGAACACAACAGACACATGTTTAGTATAAGGTTCACTTTGAAACTTTGGGCACGGAATATTTGAAATAACTATTATTAACTCAGGCAAAGGATTGACGTGTTTCATTAGTGCGTGAGGGGTATGTATTTGGCAGCTGTCAGTGTCAGATATGAAGCATATGACGTTGAAAGGTACACGTTGAAGTACAGTTTCCCTACACCGTGCTTTTGTCACGCCACATTGGTTATAACTACATGAGTTAGACCATATATCAATAAGGCGTGTATTCAACTGTAGTCATGGTAGTAGTTATAGATGGTTAATATATAGAAATATCACACTTTATACTAAAGCCCGCTGTCGGACATACAGTGAAACCATCGTTAAAGCTATGGCTGAATTTTGTTAATTCGGGTTATTTCACCGGAATATGCAGTGTCCAGATTTACTGAATTGGCTTGTATAGTGAAACCGGACCTCGTTAATCCGGATGTCACTCTTTATGTTCGATCTTAATGGGAATGCAATATCTAATTAATTAAGAGACACTTCTCAAAAGCATGATCCGTTAATCCGGAAATGTCATAATACGAACAATTTCAGTGGGTGGTAATGTTACTGTTTTTATCGAGATATTAATGTATATCTTTCATGTCATGAACTATCACTGTCACTCAGTCATATTTGTCTAAAATATACCTTAACATGTGTAAAGACCACTTGGGACTAATATTTATAATTCAATTGATGGACTCGTTGTTTTAAACAGAAACTGGACTATCTGCACAAGTTTATGTTGACACGTTGCACAGAATGTTATGTGACTGTTGATTAAACGCATATTTGAGTCGTCGGGACCATAAATATCGTGTCGAGACAAGCGGAGTAACGATAATATACTTATCATGAACATAAAATTACATTGTCTTCAACGAAATGTCAAGTTAACGGAGTTCGCGTCAACGAGTTTTCACTTTATGCATGTTAAAGAGCGTCCAATTTAAAAAAAAGAGACCTTGCGATTTTTCTTTGAACCAGGCTACAACAACAAACGTAATGCAGGTTCAGCGCATCAATATGTATTGCAAATACGGTTATGGTGTGTCGATACCCTTAAACCAAGCGCAATTCTTGTAGAGGAGTACACCAAGGAGCACAACACCTACCCTCGTTTATTTAACTGTGACCTCTGTAGTTATCCGTAACCAAGAAGATTGAACTCTCCGAATGGGGATTATTACCTATCAGTACCCCGCACACAGAACAGCGCTCATGGTGGCAGGGTCTCGGCTCGGGACTACTCAACCGAACCAGGTCTATGACAAGTCCGGGGAGGCACAGCTATCACTCACGTTACGCTCGGAGAACAATATCTGTTCTCATCGCGTGGTGACGCCGACTGCAAATTGCCCTGGCGTGAAAGTCCAGCCAGCAGCAGCTCAGTTCAACTATAATATACTTTACATAATATACATAAAACTAGCGTGTGGATGTTTCATTTTTCCTTCGATGGGCTCCGTGGTTTGACACGAGTATCGCTTTCCCTCGTTAATTCGAACTTGTTATCTCGATATATTGTTTAAGACGATGTAGGTTTATTCACCCGTCAGAAATGTCCTTGGTGTTATAGTCCTATATAGACAGTCGATATTAATATATTGTGCCCAGCCAGTTTCTCTGTATTTTTGAGGAATTCCAAGTCATTGTATGTCTGTACGAATATATGATATATAGTCTGTAGCTATTTGTCCAATAATCGGAGGCATTAGTGAGTGAGTGTGTGAGTGAGTTGGGTTTAACGCCGATTCTAACAATATTCCAGTTATATCGCGGCGTGTCAGCTTAATGTGGGAGGAAAGCCTGAAGTGTTGCAGGTCTTAGACGTTTACCACTTCGGTGAAACCCACGAGCTCGGATATGGTGCTGACAAACCTAGAAACATGATCGGGGCGAACCGGGATTCGAACCCACAATCATAGGTTTCTGGCGTGCCCAAGGTACGCAACTCTGCACAGCCTTAGACGACCGGGTCCCTCCGGAGGCATTAGATACAATAAAGCTACTTCTCCATCCTTTCTTCCTCTACCTTATCCATTTCTTCATCGCCCCCTTCTTCTCTTCTACGTTTTCTATTTTTCTTACCCCCTTCTGCTTCTACTTCTGGGCGGTCGGGTAGTCCAGTGGTTTAAGCGTTCGCTCATCAAACCGAAGACCCGGGTTCGAAACCCGACATGAGTACAATGTGTGAAGCCCATTTCTGGTGTCCAAGGTAATGATATTGTTGGAATATCGCGGCGTAAAATCAAACTCACTCTTCTACTTTCTGCATCTTTTACTTTTTACTCCTCCTCCTCCTCCTCTTCTTCTTCCCCTTCGTCCTCCCCTCCTCCCATTCCTTTATCTTTTGCTTTTTCCTTTTTGTCTGATTCTTCTTCGTCGTCTTCTTCTTCAATACGCCTACTCTATCCTACTACGGTATGACTATTGACTTATGGCTGAGTGAGTACAGAAATACCTTGGATGAGGTGACCTGGAACTGCGATTGTTAAAAGTGAATCTCACCCCGGCATTACAGAAAGGAGAGGTACATGAGGTACAATTAGTATTAGAAGCTTTACTGAGTATCAATATCAATACCACCTTACCATTAACCACTGACTGGTGATGCGCGGCATATAATCTCTCGCATCTAGCTATCTAGCTATTTATATTCACATCTCATGTCAGAGTCATCACTGTAAAAGTGACCCTGGGCACTTCACTATGACCTCTTATGGCATGGCGGACGCGGATGGCCCAGTGAGGCGCTCCAATTCACTGTGCAGAGTTGCGTCCCTTGCACACAACATAAACCTAAGTAATAAGGAACATTCCTCATCAGCGAAATGGCTTGTTTTCACTTTATAAGTTTTCGCACACATGCAGCTTCGTTAATTAATGATCGATCGCGATATTTCGTGATTCTATTTCAAGTGGCGGGGACTGTTATCGTAGATGTTATCTATCAAAACAATGCACAGTTGAGGTGATTAACAATCTGGTCATCGTTTCATGTTGATATAGGTTCACATTAATCGCTCTGCCGTTTGGAGACATTCCTGAAGATAAATACCATACTTAAAATTCTTTTTTGGAACGAAAAGCAACCGTCAGCTCATTATCATCTTCTATGTCCAAATGTCATCTCTTAATGTCTGTCAAAGTCGAAATTGCATTATACTCTTACCATCGCTCTTTAGAAAAACGCTAAGAACATTCAACATAAGCAGTCTTTTCGAATACGCGCTTTTTGAAGGGCTTGTTATTCTTCTCCAGTATAATAAGGATGAGCCGGTCACTCCATAAAAACATTCCACTGCAAGTGAGATGCATATTATTAGATATTTCATTTCAAAATGACATCTATCACTACATTGCTCAACACAGAACGGTTGACTAGTAACGTAAGTGGATGAATGCAAACCTGCATCATCGACATGCGCTGTTAGAGTTGAGGTTACAGGTGCAAAGCCTATTATGACAGGCTCACTCTCAGAGAATTCCATAGAAATACGGGGCTACACCAGGACAGCATACAACATAAAAAAACTATACCATGTCAGCATACAGTATGAAACGCTACACCAAGACAGCATACAGTATAAAACCCTACACCAGGACAGCATACAGCATGAAACCTATACCATGTCAGCATACATTATGAAACCCTACACCAAGACAGCATACAGTATAAAATCCTACACCAGGACAGCATACAGCATGAAACCTATTCCATGTCAGCATACAGTATGAAACCCTACACCAATACAGCATAAAGTATAAAACCCTACACCAGGACAGCATACAGCATGAAACCTATGCCATGTCAGCATACAGTATGAAACCCTACACCGTGACCACATACAGTATGAAACCCTACACCGTGACAATATACAGTATGAAACCCTACACCGTGACAATATACAGTATGAAACCCTACACCGTGACAATATACAGTATGAAACCCTACACCGTGACAGCATACAGTATGAAACCCTACACCAGGACAGCATACAGTATGAAACCCTACACCGTGACCACATACAGTATGAAACCCTACACCGTGACAATATACAGTATGAAACCCTACACCGTGACAATATACAGTATGAAACCCTACACCAGGACAGCATACATTATGAAACCCTACACCATGACAGCATACAGTATGAAACCCTACACCATGACAGCATACAGTATAAAACCCTACACCATGACCACATACAGTATGAAACCCTACACCATGACAACATACAGTATGAAACCCTACATCGTGACCACATACAGTATGAAACCCTACACCGTGACAATATACAGTATGAAACCCTACACCGTGACAATATACAGTATGACACCCTACACCGTGACAGCATACATTATGAAACCCTACACCGTGACCACATACAGTATAAAACCCTACAACGTGACAGCATACAGTATGAAACCCTACACCAGGACAGCATACAGTATGAAACCCTTCACCATGACAGCATACATTATGAAACCCTACACCGTGACCACATACAGTATGAAACCCTACACCATGACAGCATACAGTATGAAACCCTACACCATGACAGCATGAAACCCTACACCATGACAGCATACAGTATGAAACCCTATACCATGACCACATACAGTATGAAACCCTACACCATGACAGCATACAGTATGAAACCCTATACCATGACACAATACAGTATGGAAGCCTATACCATGACAGCATGCACTCCGATACCATATACCGTGGCAGCATACACTATGAAACCCTATCTCATGACAATATACACCATATACATGCCTCGTTACATATGACACCATACGCAAACATACCCTATGCATCATATAGAGATATATGAGAAATATAGCTTAATTGTTCAAGGGGGTGCAATGTAGACTACATTTCTCTTGCCCATAAGCGTTAACGAGTGAGAAGGTTTTGCTATTCTTTTAGCAATATTACAGGAATATCATGGGCGGGGGATATAATCATCGTGTGCAGAATCGATGTTCGGCGCGAATGGTCAACACTGAGGGACATACAGTGATGACTGAATTGTATGTTTCAGGAACAGCCTTCTTCTTCATCGCTGTGGTCGTCAATGCTTTCATGGTGCTGGTCACCGCGACGTACCCAGTGGTCAAAATGGGTAAGCGGCGCAACTATATTTACTTCCTCTCACTAAGCGACCATAACGACGCCAAAAAAGATATCCCTTTTCGCAATACATTATATGATGAGAAGAAAATATCAGGTATTTATTTCAATTTTCTTCAGAACAAAAGAATGCAAATGACCTTGAAAATCTCCTGGAAGACGACTACCTCTTCCCGGTAAGGAAAAATATGTCCAGGGAAGCCCGTCAAAGACAGTTGAACTCCGCCATGTGGTTGGGTGTGACAAGGGCTCCTCCCCCGTCGCTAACCACTCACTCAATCCATGACAGACCGGCGCTGGTAGAAATTAACGAATTCCTACTCGAATCTGAAGACGAGGCTCTATCTCGCGACAAGCGGCAGACAGGATCCGGCGATTCGGATGCAGGTAAGAGTTGTAGATATGGTTGGTCGAGGGGAAATGTAGATTGTACCCAGATTGAATACAAAGAACGAGTCATTGAGTTAGCATTTACGTCACAGCCAGCTACATTCCAGCTGCATCACCGCAGCCTGTTAATATCCGAGTGGCTGATAGCATGAGCAACGTCTTCGAAGCAACACTTATAATCGGGACTAGAAGTATTTAGATTCTTTATTCCTCATTCAGACATATTTTACTTGATTCACACACTTTTGAAGACGAACCTTGTTGATCACAATTGCTTAATATTTTTACAAAGTCATTTATATCTACTTTCACAGTTGAGGCTACCATTACTCTCGACGAAGAATTTACCGCTGCTAGTGCCAACGAAGCCAGTCGAACAGCGGCGGTAGAGAGCCAGGTAAACATCCCATTGTCTTTCAGCCGAATTTGTTTGTCGGATGTTTTGGTCAAAATTGAGAAAATTATTGAAATCTTGTTCCTTGGTGGAGGAGTATAATTATCCCGTAAGGGATATTTTTGTAGCTTTTGATATCATTATCAAACATTTAATAGAAAACAAAGTAGACCGTGATCCTGACAGATTTCTTAAGAATATGGAAAGGATTTCGTCGCTTTTATTTTAGTTATTCAAATACAAGATTAAAATATAATAGCTGGATGGACTGTTAGATATGCGGAAAACGGAAAATATTTGTGATTTATTATATATATATAATATGTGTATACAATCGGACCCAAATGTAACAACAGAACGTCGATTGTAGCTTCAGAGCGAGCTAACCAACAATGACATCAGCGTGGATTCGACATCAGCCACTTCTATATCGTAAGTAACAAAACCATACCGTGAGAGAGTGTGTTGGGTTTGACGCCGAGTTCAACAGTATTTCAGTAATATCACTGTGTCAGCTTAATGTTCGAGGAATGCCCGAAATGACATAAGGTCTAAGGCATTTATCACTATAGTGGAACCCCTGAGCGCGGGTATGGTGCTTTCTCGGAAAATAATACAACAAAGCACTCGGCCGATGTGAAGGAAATGCATGTCGATGCTTTCCCGAGAGCTTGAACGTCGTCGCCTACGGACACTGCACGTACTGTATGCGAACTTGAAGTATATATATTTAAGGTATATGGTCTTATATTGGTGTGCAAATTTGACCAATAAAATATATATTAATATCATTTTGGAAACTTTGTAATAAAATTATTATATTTTTGGTACATATGTTTTACGGATTTAACATCAGTTTACGCATTGCAGACTGAATTACTTACAGACCACAGGTGAAATATTCTTCACTGCGGCATATAACATCAAACCTTCACATTTTTTGCAGTATTTATATCAAATTTTACCATACGATTAACATAGCTACATGTGACAACTCTGATACAACAGTATCTTGCATGTTTACAAAGTCTTTGCAGAAAAGGAAGCAAAACTTTCCATATTAAGTTTTTCTTAAGCGCTGAAAATAAACGAAATTAGTGTAATGTCAGTAGTGTTCTGGTAGGAATATGCGAAAAATGGTAAAGTAGGTTTGGCAAAGATTTGCTTCTCACGTTGCAGAGATGTTGATGGTCAGACCATGTATCGCCTCTCTGTCACATTCTCTGCGGCGACAGACAGGGCCGGACTGGCCTACGTCCTGATGCTGCTGCGACGTCGTGGGCGGTTCAGCGGCTTCAATATCGTTGTGAACCCAACGGTACAGAACGCGGCCAGCGTTGAAAGTGAGTGACACCGTAGTGAGCAACTGTACCCCTGACCTGTTGTCAGCATTTCCTAATGATTCATAGACAGATGCTTATGATGTAGTCTGAATCCTACAATGGGCTCTGCTTTTAGCAGATATCTCAGTCTTATGATTATCGAAATGGTGTTGTCGCTTTTATTATCGTTGAACGTATAATAAATGGATTTATGATTGTCCAAATGTAATGCAGCTTATACAAGTTTATGTTTTCAAATGAATTAGTTTATATTGGACATGACTAAGACGCTTTACAGAAATGGATTAATATGTTTTTTTCAGCAAATGCTATATGTCTACTGTGCCCCGCTGATAAACCTTGTATCGATGGAGAATGCGGGTATGTCAAACCTTGAATAAATTCAAACTGTAAAATGTAAACACTTATGTGATTTAGTTCTGAAAGCAGTCATTATGTTTCGTGACGATAAAGCGTGAAAATCTAAAACACACCCATTGGGGAAATGGCCATAGCAAATATTTCATTTTGCAATGTTTAAATTACCATTGTACATATGATATTTACACACGTGAAATAACCCGTATTGTACCTTTCTTTTTCATGATGCAGAGTTCGTAAGTATACTCACTTTATTCTTCTAATATTATGAAAAATGATATCAGCTTATAACCTGAAAAATTATCATATTTCTAGTATTTAAATTAAGTAAGGTTCTGTAGGTGAATATAAATCAGATGCATTTGTCGGTACCGATGGTCTACATCAAAATCCCAATGTAATTTTCGTATCATCTGTTTTTGTTAAATTATTCCATTATAAGATAATTGATATCACATTAATAAACAATTATTCTCCTGTTTCAGCGTCTACAGCCTCTGGAAGTGGTGAGGATATCTTTTATACATAGGCCGTAGTTCGTATTTCACTGGCTCGTCGCCATTATGTCAATTGTATATATTTTATTTGTACATATTTTTAAAGTCACTAATGTCCGTATTCAGATACAGTACTACCTCTCTGAGGCAGTTCCCTATCAAGATTATGTGAAACGAAAAAGCTGAACTCTATTAACCTTTGGTATCTGGTCTTCGACATTTTCTGTTAAATTCTGTGTTTGACATAGTATTAAGTATTACATATATAAACAACTGTTCTAAAACATTCAGAGCGGTCGGGTAGCCTAGTGCACGTGGTTAAAGCGTTCGTTCGTCACTCCGAAGACCCGGGTTCGATTCCCGACATGGGTACAATGTGTGAAGCCCATTTCTGGTGTCCCCCGCCGTGATATTGCTGGAATATTACTAACAGCGGCGTAAAATCAAACTCACTCACTCACTCTAAAATAATCATTTTTTTACAAGTAAAGCAAAAAGTGTGTATATGTTGCTTGAAGCAGTTTTTCCTATAATTGTAGGTCTTTTCCCATATGGGTACTGGATGGTTGATAGCAGACTGAGGCACACAAGATGGGATGTATCAAGTGAGGAATTGTCAATTGAAGATGGCTTCCCCTTCTACAGTACTGTTGAAGAGAAGTTTTATGTGAGTGGTACCATACAACTATTGGCTTTCTATTGATTTATCATCAGTCGTATTAAATACAGTTGGCGATAGGGTAGCCTAGTGGTTAAAGCGTTCGCCCGTCATGCCTTTGGCCCGGGTTTGGTTTTAACATGGGTACAATATGTAAAACACATTAGGGTGTCCCTCATCTTGATATGGCAGGAATATTCCTAGTGCGGCGTAAAACCATACTCGCTCACTCACTGAATAAAATGACAGGAAGTCCGAACCCTTCTTTATGACTCGGTGAAGTTCTTGATCAAGCTTTAGGCTATCAGACACTGTAGTAGAAAAGTTAATTGAACTATCAAGGAATATGCTAGCCAGTTTAATTACCCCTGCTATCGAAGTGGCAAATAACTTACCCGACTCGAAGTAACAATTGCGAGCAGAGTTGCGATCCTAAGGCGTTGCAGAAACCGATGATCATGGGTTAGATTCTTAATTTTGTTTTTTCAGAACCATGGGTTTTACTAAAGTGTTAAATTCTCGGACGTCTTCTGTACTTAATCAATGATAAGAGCGTGTTTTTGTCTTGTTAGATTGGAGACAATGGTGGCGTGAGCTTTGGGCAGGAATACAACCCGTACTTCCTCGCAAGTATGGGTAGCGCAGAGGTCAAGTATGCGTGTATATACTGCGACGACTTTGACATTAGATTCGGCGGAGATGTCTTCTACCACATCTATGTTGCTGGGGAGGACGATGGTGAGTGATAACGCTCAGATCCTTATTCTTATCGTTTGCGCCGCTTTAGTATCTTCAAGCAAATTTCACTTTCGAGTGCATGGTGATTTTATTTAGTAGAATCCACAGATAATGATCTAACAACAAATCGTTATAGTGTGACAAGACTGCTAGAGTCGTTTGTGATTAATGAAGTCGATTAAAGTCGTTCTGGTTTTTTTATCAGCCGATGCAGTGTTGGACAGAGCCACAGCGGAAATAAGCGCCAGAACATCACGTGGTGGTTTCAGGGCATCATGGGCGTGTGTGATCACGTGGTACAATGTTCCCGAATTCACAACTTATAGTGCCACAGCGTCGATTGCGATCGTAAATATTCACAAATTTCTTACATCATTTATTTTGTTTCAAATCCAGAGATTGAACTGATTGATATGACATTTGTTTTTTATAAGGTTCACACACGCTTGCAACTGTAACACTATGCATTGTCAAAAGAATATTATATTTCGCTTGATAATGAATGTTGATGTATGTCCAATATGACAATATGGATACAAACGGCGTAAAAACATATTTACTCACTGTAGCCATGTTTGCCTTAACAGTCTATCACTTGTCTACGATACATGAGGTTCCTAGTTGCAGGTCGAAGGTTCGATCCCTGGCCGCGTCATACCAAAAGACGTTAAAACGTCCGTCCTGTTTCCCTGACTAATACATGCAGCCACAGACACACGAGCACAATGCTATATAAGTGAAATAATCTTGAACCCTAAATTAAACCACATTTCACTTCACCTCTCCTTGATGCCAAAAAAACCACACTATTCATCTAATTATTGTCTATTTCAGCGCAACACCTTCCAGATGGTGATGGTCACAGACGGCGAGGTGTCATTCATAATGTATTTCTATAGTGACATTCAAGCTTCCACGTCCTTCCGTGAGCAGGCCGTCCATGGTTATAAAGGGGCCAGCCAATTCACCGAGCTGGAATACTCCAGGCGAGAAACTGAAATCGCTGGTGCCGAGGGATTCGCGCTATTTGATAAACCAATCATGAGCGACGTTCTGGGCAACTCCCAAGGTATGTAAACATGTATTGTAAACTGACAGATAAAACCAAAGGAAAGTACCCAAATACGATACCTCGATAACTATTATGATGCTGAGTTCATTCTTCAGGCTTCTTGGTTAAAAACCCAACGAACAAGGCTGCCCGAAAACCTTTTCAAATAAACGATTGCCCCTATCATACACCACGATGAATTGTGTACTGTGTCAATCCTTTAGCACATACATATATTTTGGGCATTGCACTTCCCTTTTGTCTCATGCCCTGTACACTCGTGTGCTGTATTTGATTCTGCAGGAGAAGTAGGGGTTTGGCTGTTTCAAGTCGGGGAAATAGTCAACGTGAGTCCCGCTCGCCAGTGTACTCAGTGGTACCGTGAAAACCTCCCGTCCAGATCATTCTTCTCATCACGGGCTTTTTTCCTTGGTAACAGACGTTGCCCCTGTCGACGTGAACTTGTACAATGGTCGGCTAGATTCCTTCCAGCTCCACCGTACTTCGGCGAGGACGTGTACTGTGTGGAAATGCAGGCGACAACTAGTCTGGATACCTTTGTAAGTTCATCTTAAGTCTATATGTATGACAAGGTGCGGTTGGGTAGCTCTTGGTGAATGCTTCGCCTCGTTATGTCGGACACTAAGGTTCCACATCCCAACATGGGTTTCAATGTGTAATGCACACGTCCGATGTCCCCATGCCGTTATATGGCTGGGCTATTGCGGCGTTAAACCATTAAGACAGAATGAGTGAGTGCGTTCAACCCCACTTTGACAAGTATTTCTCTTATATCACAGTCATAAGTCCGAGGAAGCCAAAATGTACACAGATCGTAGACCTTTACCACCGGCATCGATAGGGTGCTGACAAATGAAAAAAGGGGGACGATTCAGGCATTCGGTGAACTGCAAATCTGCACAGTGAATAATTGAAGTGCTCTAGATAATGGCCCATCCGATTCATTCTAACCTTGAAACGATAGACCATTATATTTTTGGGTGTATGCATTTTCAAGTGACTCATTATCTTAGTAATTAACTAGTAAATGATGTGCATGTTAATAATTTTACAGTGAATACATAAATTGGACTTATTTCGTTTCGTGCATGAATTCTGGTATCGCCTGAGAGAGCGCTGTAAAATATGTTTTAACATATTCAATAGCAGACCTCATTGTTTCACACCTTCAATAGGAATGCTGTTACGACAGGACCGGTAGCTTCATCGACAGCCTCCCTGATGCAGGAACCTACAACCGCTACAGCAAGCTCAAAGACCCCTTCCGCCATCAGCTCCAAGACAGTGACCCTAAGGACTGGTGCTGTAGACAGTCCAATTTGTGTCATCTCTACGAGAGAGTCAGGCCTAAGTCCAGATGTTTCTTCAACGTTTGGCGAGCTATCCTATGTGAGAACAATTAGATACATCCGAGTAATGACATTTGTTTGTAGGAATTTCTTTAACTTGAAACTGTTCTCCAATTTCTCTTGTAGCACTTGGACAATGTTTATACATGAATATGTTCTCTATTATGACTTGATGCTCATTGCCTATTGATTAATACAAGCCTTTCGGTCCTGATAATCATAAACTGTTAAACGACCGGAGTGTGTACCGCAATCGTATTGTTTGAACGCTGATAACAAAAGCGAAAATATTCAGGACGTTGAAGTTTTGATAAATGTATTTTGTCTAACCTAAAATTCGAATTGAATTCATCATGGCGACATGGATATCGCATTAATATTCATTGCAGTCTGCTAACAAGGAGGTTGGGTTGTCATGAATGCATGACGTAATCCGCATTTTTATTACCTCGTTTCACAGTGTCATATCTATCTCGCGGTTGTTTGAATACACGTTCAAAGTTGCTGCTGTGGACAATTACTAATAACTATATGTCCAACGCTGATAAAAATGTGTTTCATATATCTTGTAACTGAGTATTCAATCTCTGGCCATTTTATAATGTAACAACTCCATCTAACACCATCGACTACACACTAGAACTCACAAATCTGAAAACACATAATGTTTTTCTCCTCCTAATGTATATTAAGAAATTCCTTATGGGGTTTTGTACAATATTTTCTCCTTTATACAGTCTTTATTTTCGGCGACCCTCACTTTATGACACTGGACGGCAAGGTGTTTACCTTCAACGGATTGGGGGAGTACAGGCTGATTGAACTGGAACCAACAGACAAGAGCTTCACTTTCAAGCTACAGTGCAGAACTGCCCAGGCACGTTCGAGCACAGGAGAGAAGGTCAAGGCCACATTGTTCTCTGCCTTCGCGGTGGAACAGAAAAGTGACACTCTAGGAACAGGGAAGATTCACGTTGGTCTCAACAAGGACAAGACAAGTAGGTCTTTGTGCTATCTCAAAGTGAAGGGGAAATCGTTGGCTAGTTATTGATATGATTACACGAAGCATCAATATTCAGTAAGTGTTATCTGAACATTGGAGTTTCTTTAAATGAAACTGATTAATGAAAGTCACTATTAATTGCTTCTCAAGTACGGCATCACGATATCTGTGCAAAATGCTTCTGACCTTCGTCCCACCCAAAGCACTGAGATCTGAGAGATATTTCTCCTATTTCCTATGCAGTAACATTTGAAAGGCATACCATTCCCCCTTTGTTAGAACCTACACCGAACCGTCGATCCTAATTGTAAAAAGGAAGGTGTTCGTCCATATATCCATAGTACTCCAACTTCTGAATGCCTCTCAAAGAATTATTATTATTATTATTATTATTATTATTATTATTATTATTATGTTGTTGTTGTTGTTGTTGTTGTTGTGGGAGGGGGGGGGGGGGGGGGGGGGGGCTCATTTCTATACATCCTAATATAGGAACAGAGACAACACGATCTGATGATCATGTTTCAGGAATGGTGATCTATATCGACGAAGTGGATGTGACTACTCAATTTTATGACGAAGCCAACTTCAAGAGAACATCGGACCATCTTATCGCCTCTAAATTAAACGACACGAAGGCTGAATTTTCTTTCCCTGGAATAGGTAAGGATGTTTGCTCTCTGGTTTGTTGCATTCGACAACCCCAAAGACAATGTGTTGGTCTAACTGAGCACATACTTCACAACAAAGCGTTTAAAGGGTAAACAACCTTTGAGGCAGACACAGTTTTTGCCAATAGAACATTGTGTAGATATTTTGTATTACCCGGTCACAAAACTTAATACTTAAGTATATGGAACATATAGCGATAAAAAGGGAAACATCGTTACAGGTACAATTCGATGCTTTTTCATTATAAGTGTAGTGATGATAGGAATTTATCCCTTGTGGATATGTATGACATTGCAGGTATGTAACCTTTTCTGGTAAGTTCATAACGGAGACAGTCAAAGCAAAATATATTCATCTTCAAATTGTTTTTTGATACCTCATCAACATTTGTTAATGAGGCAATGTAAATGATGAGGAAATTGCGTAAATAATGATAAATTTATGTTGATGCTGCTGTGTGATGATGAGTTATAATGATGTAAATGATGATGAAGTTGTGTAAGTGAAGATGAAGTTATTTTGATGATGAGTTATGATGGTGAGTTTTATAATGATGTAAATGATGATGAAGTTGTGTAAGTGATAATGAAGTTATGTTAATGATGAGCATGATTAGTTATGATGAAGTAAATGTTGATAAAGTTATGCAAATGTTGATGAATTTGTGTAACTGAAGATGAAGTTATGTTGATGATGAGTGATGATGTAAATGGTCATGAAGTTATTTAACGTTGTGTTTCCACGTGTTTGATGATCTGGCGCGTACTTTCCAGGGGTCGTTGTGACAATGACCATCATCTCGGGGACACTGTCACAGGCGACAGTTCTTCAGGAGAGATACAGGGGTCTACCAAAAGGTCTTCTTGGGAATTACAATGGTGATAATACGGATGACTTCAAATCCCCTGATGGAGCCGAAACCTATCCGGACACGGCCACAGATGACGTACTCTACCCTTTCGGCCAGTCATGTACGTACCGAATACTTTCGTACAAGGTCCAAACACAACACCCGTATTCGTACATCACCATCGAATAATCATTTCTTGTTTGTTTTATTCTTTGCCCCCATTAAACATGAATGCATTCTTTCTTTTGCCTTGCAGTTTATGTTTTTGAAGAGCATTTTAAAGAGGGAAAATCATTATAAAATAAACCACGTTAGAACATTATTCTTTAAAAGTAAACAGAAAACGTTATTTCTTAGAAGTAGACAGAAATGCCTGAGTGAAATGAAACAAATGTCTGAATACACACCTGATATGATGCTCCATGTACACACATGTGAAGGATATATGTGTTGTATTGTTTTGTTTGAAAATGTGATTCTCTTTTGTTGTTATTAATATTATCGTTTGTTGTTTTTTGTTTAATGCCGCAAAAAACAATATCCCAGCGATATGACGACGGTCTGTAAAAAATCGAGTCGGGATCACACAATCCACTGATTGACATCATGAACATCGATCTACGCAAATGGGTTTGATACCATGACATGCATCGGTTGATGCCAGCGTCAGCGAGCCCCACAAGCGTGGGTTTCTGAAGACTCTTTTAACCCCGATCTTCATGAGGCTATGTGTTCACCTTGTCGATCATTTTGTGTTTCAGGGGCCATAACTGTTCAAGAAGACTCTGTTCTTCATTACAATCCTGGCCAGACAATATCGACCTTCACAGATGACACATATACCCCATTGTTTGACAAGGACATATCAGATGTCGATCGCGAAGCTGGTATTGCTAAGTGTGGCGGCGCGGATAAAAAACAGTGTATCTTTGACTACGCAGTCACCAAAAACGAAGCTCTCGCAAATGCTGCCACAAGTCAACTCGAGGAAGCTAAGGCCGCTACTGAAAATCTAGGTAATGCAAAGAACACCATTAACTTGATAGATTAAAAATGATTTCTTTATAACCAATGTTCTACTATATCAGGTTCATTAAAGCAATGTTCTGCTGTGTAAGGTTCGTTATAACCAGTGTTCTCCCATATCAGGTTCGTCATAACTAACGTTCTACTATACCAGGTTCGTTATAACCAATGTTCTACTATATCAGGTTCGTTGTTGATAATGTTCTGCTGTCTAAGGTTCGTTATAACCAATGTTCTCCCATATCAGGTTCGTTATAACTAACGTTCCACTATACCAGGTTCGTTGTAACCAATGTTCTACTATATCAGGTTCGTTGTTAATAATGTTCTGCTGTATGAGGTTCGATATAACCAATTTCTACTATATCAGTTTCCTTATAACCAATGTTGTGCTATATCAGCGTCGTGATAACCACTATTCTACTGTCGGTTTCGTTATAGTTCTATTATTCCTTTTGTAATGACTTATCCGAACTCTCCGTTTTAAAAAAGTCTTCGTAAATCTTCAGGATAACTGTAAAATCGATTGTTTACAACGGAGTCGAAATCGACATATAACCTTAAACGATACGCAGGTATCTTGAGACTGTCATATCGACTTGAGGTACTGATCTTCAAAAGAAATAAGAAATATTAAACATAAATACCTTACCCTGAGTATAAACAAGCTGGCGTTAGTTAAAAAGTCAATGAAAACGGTTGAAGTAGCGTTTTTAACGAAACCATCTTATTTATATTCTGAAAATACATACACTTTTTTTTCTGGAATACATATCCTCACGACAAGATAGATTTGATTACATATCTGGTTATAGCATGGCACCTTAACAAATCATTTTCGTATTTCACATTATATCAAATATACTCTCCATTATTTTTTATAGTTTTTATTTTGTAGCAAACCGAAATCCTACGATAACTGGAACAAGGCAGATCGATGCCGAATTAGGCAAAGCCATCACCTTTAAATTCAACGCCTCCGACGAGGACAGTGACACCATTACCTACATTGCCGTGAAAAAACCCACTGGTTTCACCTTGGACGCAGCCACTGGTTTGGCAACGTGGACCCCGTCCGGAAATGATCCTGTTTCTATAAGGTAACAGTTTCCTATTGGATTAGTTCGTTGGTTGGTTTGTTGTTGAACGCCGCACTCAGCAATATTCCAGCTATATGACGGCGGTCAATAAATAATCGAGTCTGGACCAGACAATCCAGTGATTGACATCATGAGCATCGATCCACGCAATTAGGATCGATGACATGCATCAACCAAGTCAGCGAGCCTGACCACCCGATCCCATTAGTCGCCTCTTACGACAAGCATAGTCGCCTTTTACGGCAAGCATAGGTTGGTGAAGACCTATTCTATCCCGGCTCTTCACGGGTCTCCTGTTGGATTAAGACTATTACACATTCCTTCATTGTACCATGTACCATGTATATTTCTTATGAACATGCCAATTTTAACATCTTATTGAGACTGATAGAATGAAATAACGACTATAACAAGCCCATTTAATTTACGTCCTTTTCAAAACTTTAAAAAAGATTCCATGTATCCTAACGGTACCGTACGCAGCAAAATTATGCGATTTTCCAGATGAGCGAATCATTTTTGCGGAAGATTTCCTTTGTACTTATATTGAAGTTCTTTAAAAAAACTGCTTCGAAGGAGTGGGGTCTGGATATACTGGGTGTCACTTTACACTTTTCTTAATTAAATCAATTTACGCCTTCATTATCACTGTCTTCATTATCTCCATTATAATTTTGTTTAGACTCCTTTATCAATTTATTCATGCAAAACTACTATCATGTTATTTTTGTAACGTATACCCCAGTACTAGATGAATTTGTTAGTCATCCCCATGTAACAGTTAAACAGTCATGACATTCAGTGAATGGTCGATATATGCATACAAGACTATAAATGTGAACACGGTGGATTAGTCAATAATCAACTGAGATGATCAATCACTATAGGTAAAACTTTCGTAACCTCGGAACACAAAGGGCATCCGAATTGTTTCTATTTTCAGCGTTGCTGCCAAGGACACGAAGGCCGCTCAGTCTCCCGTGCTTGATGTTCAGGTGCGGTTGTGTAAAGGATGTGGTAATGATGGTCAGTGCAATTTTGACACCCCAGAGACACGTCCAACATCACAGAATGCATCGCTTTTCCAAGTGGCATCGTGTAAATGCAACACTGGTTACTCAGGTAAGACCTCTTTGTTGTGTTTATCATAATCACCAATATATACATTCTGCAAAACTACAGTGGCATTGACTATGGTCATTCATATAAAAATAAGCTATACTTACACTGATATTAATTATCATCGTTCTTATGGAACTGAGAAATTGTTTCATTCTTTTTCAGGTTTAGCGTGTGAAAATGACAAGAACGGCTGTATTACCCCCAATCCTTGTGGCCAGTTACGCACATGTACTGATGTCAATGCTACTGAAGAAGTGAGAACTGGTCAAGCATACACGTGCTCTGCCTGTCCCCCTGGGTACAACTCAAACAACCCTGCCGCAAATGCAGAATGTAAAAGTATGTATCCTATGCTTGCAGTGGTTCTTTGCAAAATCGTTTTTTTTAGATTTCAAAAAGAAAATGTACCTCACCAAATCTAAATAAATTGATTCGTACTTAACATTATCATCATCTCATTCTCCATTAATCTTCTTAGAAGAGAATATGCTGCAGCAAATTGGACTTTAAATATTATGACTGCATTTAATAACTTTATTTTATTAGTCATATTTGAAAAAGCTGGTGTTATTTTTAAATGGTTAAAAATGTCACAATGAATAATCCTATAGTAAATTAAAGCATAATCCACTTTAATAATGTGTGGTCAATGATGCTGTTGTGATAATATAATGAAACTACTGGAGCACACGTCGAGATACTATACCACATCATTGCTTTCAAACATTACCGAACTATGTAGCACCGTAATCATTAAATAAATCAAATATGTGCAATTTTATTGTTGTTGTAATAATAATAATAATAATAATAATAATAATAATAATAATCATAATAATAATCATAATAATAGACGATAATGACGATATTTCATGCCAAACTGTATGACATTAAGGTATAATTTTAAATTTATGCTTACAGATATTAATGAATGCCTGGCTAACGACGGGAGAGGAGACTGTCCGGTCAACTCAAAATGTGAAGATACGATTGGTTCCTTCATGTGCATGTGTGAGAAGGGATTCAGGAAAGATAGCAGCGGCAAATGTGTCGGTCAGTGAATGTTTATAACATGCATGTTGGAACAATTGCATAAGTATAAAACAGGCACGAAGACACAAAAAAGTTGTTTTTATTCGCAAAACACCTCTTTCTGATCGACGAACCAGTACAATATATTATGGATTAAATGCCAAAATAAGACTAGTTCCCAAGTAGTCAGTAATTATTTTGACAACAAAGGTTATTGTCCATTCATATTGAAATTATGTGTGGTTGTTTTTATATATTATCCCCTGCTTGAACAGACACAAACCTTTCACTTCTCCTTTAATTGATCTGATCAATATTTTCTTGAAGATATTGATGAGTGTGACGAGAGCAGCAGCGACTGTGTACAAACATGCAACAACATCGACGGCGGCTGGCAATGCGGCTGTTACGATGGATACACCCTCAACGCTGATAACAAAACATGCGACGGAGGTAAGTGTAACCTATTACAGGAAATACCGGGTAGCAGGTTGTCCATACTATTGTGTTAGTTTACATATACTGTAGCGCGTGCAACGCGTAATGTGTAAGATGGCCTACCTTGTATGTACCGATGACATCATTGTCCAGTCTTGTGTTAGATGGTCTACCTTGTATGCAAGAGTTATATCACTGTCCAGTCGTGTGTAAGATGGTCTACCTTGTATGCAACAGTTGTATCACTGTCCAGTCTTGTGTAAGATGGTCTACCTTGTATGCAACAGTTGTATCACTGCCCTGTCTTGTGTAAGATGGTCTACCTTGTATGCAACAGTTGTATCACTGCCCAATAGTGTGTAAGATGGTCTACCTTGTATGTACCAATTGTATCAGTGTCTTGTCGTGTGTGAGATGGTCTAACTTGTATGTACCAATTGTAGCAGTGTCCAGTCGTGTGTTAGATGGTCTACCTTGTATGTACCAATTGTATCAGTGTCCAGCCGTGTTTAAGATGGTCTACCTTGTATGTACCAATTGTATCAGTGTCCAGTCGTGTGTTAGATAGTGTACCTTGTATGTACCAATTGTATCAGTGTCTAGTCGTGTGTAAGATGGTCTTCCTTGTATATACCAATTGTATCAGTGTCCAGTCGTGTGTAGAATGGTCTACCTTGTATGTACCAATTGTATCAGTGTCCAGTCGTGTGTAAGATGGTCTACCTTGTATGTACCAATTGTATCAGTGTCTAGTCGTGTGTAAGATAGTCTAACTTGTATGTAACAATTGTATCAGTGTCCTGTCGTGTGTAAGATGGTCTACCTTGTATGTACCGATGACATCATTGTCCAGGCTTGTGTAAGATGGTCTACCGTGTATGCAACAGTTGTATCACTGTCCAGTCTTGTGTAAGATGGTCTACCGTGTATGCAACAGTTGTATCACTGTCGAGTCTTGTGTAAGATGGTCTACCTTGTATGCAACAGTTGTATCACTGTCGAGTCTTGTGTAAGATGGTCTACCGTGTATGCAACAGTTGTATCACTGTCCAGTCTTGTGTAAGATGGTCTACCTTGTATGCAACAGTTGTATCACTGTCCAGTCTTGTGTAAGATGGTCTACCTTGTATGCAACAGTTATATCACTGTCCAGTCTTGTGTAAGATGGTCTACCCTGTATGCAACAGTTGTATCACTGCCCAGTAGTGTGTAAGATGGTCTACCTTGTATGCAACAGTTGCATCACTGTCCAGTTTTGTGTAAGATGGTCTACCCTGTATGCAACAGTTGTATCACTGCCCAGTAGTGTGTAAGATGGTCTACCTTGTATGCAACAGTTGTATCACTGTCGAGTCTTGTGTAAGATGGTCTACCTTTTATGCAACAGTTGTATCACTGCCCAGTAGTGTGTAAGATGGCCTACCTTGTATGCGCCAGTTGTATACCATACATGTGTAGGATGGCCTACCTTGTATGCGCCAGTTGTATATCATACATGTGGAAGATGGCCTTCCTTGTATGCGCCAGTTGTATACCATTCATTTTTAAGATGGCGCCAGTTCTTTACCATTCATGTTTAAGATGGCGCCAGTTGTATACCATACATGTGTATGATGGCCTACCTTGTATGCGCCAGTTGTATACCAAACATGTGTAGGATGGCCTACCTTGTATGCGCCAGTTGTATACCATACATGTTAAAGATGGCCCACCTTGTATGAACCAGTTGTATACCATTCATGTCTAAGATGGCGCCAGTGGTATACCATACATGTGTAGGATGGCCTACCTTGTATGCGCCAGTTGTATACCATTCATGTGTAAAATGGCCAGTCTGAAATTTGTACCATTTGTATCACTATCTGCCCATGTGTGTGAAACCCGATTTTCCAACTTGCATAGCCATATCGTGAAGGTTCGAAAAAACAGTGAAATAATATACAAATATTTGAAGTATTATTCTACCCACTAACATTCACCTCCTGTGTCCGACATTTGTTTTTTTTGTTTTGATGTTAATGACATGGCTTTTCACAACGTGCTCTGTGTTTCAGCGCCTGTTGGCGCCTGCGCAACCACTGAATGTGAACAATTGTGTGACAACGGCACCTGTAAATGCAGACCAGGCTTCACCCTTGATTCTAATCTAAAAAACTGCACAGGTGGGTAACATTTATTTCTTCTTAAAACCATCTGTACCGAAGGATCTGCAACCATTAATTTGTCACCTCACCCAAATATTTTGTTCAAAACGCAACAAACCTAAACACACAAAAAATATATAATTGAAAATAATTCGATGTTGGTCCTTTTACAGATTTGTTTTGTATGTTTTGAAGCGCCGACTAAACTAATATTCTGCAACAAACCAATGTCCCACCTTCCACAACAATCAATATTACATCCTCGGTCCCTAACGAACAACAAAAATAATGGTTTTACCTAGATGTCAACGAATGTGACCAGAACCTGTGCGGTCAAATCTGTAACAACACCGTCGGCAGCTACGTATGCTCCTGCTACACCGGCTTCAAACTGTCACAAGACAAACAGACCTGCCTCAGTGAGTAGCAAGCTAAATCTATAGTTTTTGCAGATAATACACATTTGTAAATTAAAGCGATACCATCCTTTCCACATCATATTCATGTTGAACGCAATGTTGATTGTAAGATTCCGACTATATCATGAGTGTGTGAACACTTATGACTTGATGCTCGTTGCCTATTTATAGATAACATATAAGCGACAAAACTCTTTCCATATTCATGAGTCGATTGTACGATTCCGACTATGGCATACGTATGTGTTAATGAATCACTTTCAAATAGTGATGATACGACTTCATGTTTGAAAGTGTAGGTTGTGGGGTAGAAACGATCTGAATTATCTGACATTTCTTTCAGAATGTGGCTTCCCGAAGTGGGGGGTAGAATGTCAATCCACATGTGAATGTCAAGGTCGGGCCACGAGCTGCGACCCCGCTAGGGGATGTGTGTGTACTGCGGGATGGACAGGACCAAGGTGCAACGAAGATGTTAACGAATGTCAGGCGAACCCTACCATCTGCGGCAACTCGCAAACATGTTCTAACACCAACGGGTCATATGTATGCATGTGTAGTGAAGGTTATGTCAAGAACGGAACCGACTGCATAGGTAAGGGAGAAAGTTTGCTGGTGACGCACCATGCGGATGCTAGTGGCATTGAAAATACATTAAGGTTGTTGTATGTGGCCTTGTGCACGGAGCACATACATGTATTCTTAATTAAGTGCTGTTGAGCAACGTAATATATTTAGATGGTGGCCAGTGTGGACCAGTCTGACTTTCAAGGACTTCGAACCGTTCCTATTCTGAAAATGTGCTATGAAAAATAAGAAATACGTCCTCATGCACACGCTTTTGATCGAATTCTACCTTTTTAAACCAATCAGCAGTCGCTTGAACCATCCAACATTGGGTCTTTGAAAGGCATTTAGTAGTGATACACAAAAGGAAGAGAATATATGGATGCCAACTTCTTTATTATGAGGATCAAAACGTTTCGGAGTATATGCTTACTCCTTCATTAGGTGAATGAATGCCATGAGGCAGAGAGCATATATATGTACATGTAAGGACAATAAAATAATAAGATAACAAAGGCTGGGAATTAACATAGGGTAGGAGCTAACGAAGGAAGCCAAGAGATGATTGGCGCTTATCTTACTTAGCTATGCTAACTTAAGTGTTGGCTACCATTGTCTCTTGCTGATCACCTATCAGCGCCAATCATCTGTTGGCTTCCTTTGTTAGGTCCTACCCTTTGTTAATTTCCAGCCTTTGTTATCTTATTCTTTATTGTCCTTACATGTACATATATATGCTCTCTGCCTCATGGCATTTAATTCACCTGATGAAGAAGTAAGCATATACTCCGAAACGTTGTGTTCCTCATAATAAGGAAGTTGACATCCATAAATTCTCTTCCTCATCCAACATTAGTTGGGTGATTTCAGAGCCTCAGATCATCAAGGGTAAGGGACATTGACGCTTGAAAAAACAACAACTTATCTCCCCTCTTGAAATATGAGCTCCTCGTCCAACGATCTCTGCCTATTACAGGTTATTAGTGTGAGTGGGTTCAGTTTAACTCAGCTTTGAACAATATTTCAGTTATTACACAGCGTGTCAGTTAACGTTGACATGGGATGAAGGCCCAAAGTGATGCAGGTCTAGACGTTAAAGACTTCCAGAAAAGCCACGACCAGGGTTATAGGCCTGACAAACAAAGAAAAATAATCTAGTCAGTTTGATATCGGAATCGAACTGACGAATTGAGAAGCCATAGTAGACGAGCCACTTTTCAGGCTCTGTGTCTTTCGTCAGTGGTAATATTAACTCTTATCATAATACCTCTTCTGTTTTAGATATTGATGAGTGTAAATCTACCACCGACGCCAACGTTTGTCCTTCCAATTCCATATGTGTCAATGTCGTTGGCTCGTTCGCTTGTAACTGTAACCCAGGCTACACGAAGGAGGGCAGTAATTGCACGGGTGAGTTAATGTAGACTACCTGGGAATATATTAAACATGAGGCTTATAATGTAATGACTCCATCTTGTTGCCTGTGTTTCCTTGTAAGATAAATATAAAGCAAAACACAGTATTCGTTGTAGCCATTTAAATCAATGTTCAAAAATTCTTTTGAATAACCATTTGAACATCTCATCAAATAAGTTATCAATATATACTTGTGATTTACCAGACATCAACGAATGCAGCAACGGACAGGACATTTGTGAACAATCATGTATGAACGTGGTGGGCAGCTACAACTGTTTCTGCAACGGCGGTTACACCCTCAACGATGATAGGAAGACGTGTACTAAAGGTAAAGGATTCTGGATACACATTATGCATCTGTATGTCTTTTATCGGCGAAAGACCATATACTTGAAGTATCCGATGTTGTTGAAGGGTAGGGATGAGGGCTGCGGGTCACGGTTTGGGTGTAGAGGTCTAAGTGCAAGAATTCCCTAAATACTGACAATGAAATATTTGTGACATGCTCTAATTTTTCTTATAGTTTTATATGAAAGAACTGATGACAATTTCAGTCACATTATGGTACATGGTTGTATCAAGTCTTTGAAAGGCATTTAGAAGTGATACACAAAAGGAAGTGAATTAAAGCTATGAAGCATAGAACATATACATATACCTGTACGAACAACAAAAATAATAAGATAACAGAGGTGGAAACTAAACAAGGGAAGCCAACAGTTATTTGGCGCTGATGGGTGATAGCAGGACTTAAATCATTATTCATTTACCAATTAACTTTACCAATCAGTGATTTCAAACAGTTTGAAATATGCCACGACATATTAGTCATGATCTTCATGAACATTGTATATGATTACTTATCACATTGACGAGGCTTCATGAACATTGTATACTTTTATATAGACGAGTCGTCATGAACATTGTAAACTTTTTTATGGACGAGTCTTCATGAGCATTGTATACCTATGACATAGACGAATCTTAATGAACATTGAATACTTATCATACGGACGAGGTTCCATGAACATTGTATATGATTACTTATATAGACGAGTCTTCATGAACATTGTATACTTTTATATAGACGAGTCTTCATGAACATTGTATACTTTTATATAGACGAGTCTTCATGAACATTGTATACTTTCATATAGACGAGTCTTCGTGAATGTTGCATCTTTATATTATAGGCGAGTCTTCATGAACATTGTATACATATTATACAGACGACTATTTATGAACAGTGTATACATATTGTATTGATGAGCCTTCATGAACATTGCAGATCCTGAGCAGACTGACCCCTGTGCGGGACTGACCAATCTGAACTGTAGCCACTACTGTGAGGTGGTCAGTGGCAGCGCTGTCTGTAAATGTAACCGAGGCTATTCACTGGGTGCTGACCAAATGACGTGTGTTGGTAAGAGGCTAGAGCTGATATACACTCTCTCTTGTAATGTATTCTGGACAGACATGTATGGTCCTTTACCGAAATCGCGAGGATACATGACAAAAAAGTTGTTCTTGTTTGATGATCGAGAATGATTTGCTATTTGTATCTATTAGAAGTCCACATTTGGTGTAATTACTCGTTTTCCATGAATGTATTGATTTGGGAGGAAAAGTGTAATCCCGGTTTAGACATGTTTTAAACTGTTGTCGTCCAGAATGTTTATATTCCGAAGCTTATGTCATTCTCTTGATACAGCCGAATGACCAGTGTAGTTCAGAATATTCAATCGCGAATACCTTGTGGCATCACTGATTTTCGGTGATCCATTCAAATAATATTTACGGCTATTTTGCCTTTCAAGCTCAATGGCATCCGTTTCATCGGATAATCGAAACTGGTTATTCTAATTATGAATTTAACAAATAGTTTATAGATGTCACAGGAGAAACAATTTGGGTCTTTGGGTCAGTTTGAATTCGAACAAAAGAAGTGATGTCTAACTGGTATCATGTACAGGCTTTCATACACGTAGGCTTATTTTATGTTTTGTTTAGTTTACATGGATGGACTATTTAACTTTCAGACTTTAACGAATGCGACAATGCAACATTAAACCTGTGTACCGACAAGAGCACCTGCACAAACACTCCGGGTTCTTACAAATGTACCTGTACATCTGGTACAAATCTAGACAATGATGAGCGGACATGTGTTGGTAGGTTCCTTAGTCAGTCTTCCGAATATTGGCAGTGGTCCCGCGCCACATCATGCAACGTTATTTGTTTGTAACATTAAACTACGGTTATAACGAACTACAGGGTACCAATATTTTTAGTTCGTAATAACCGTAGCTCTTTATAAGCATATTTACAGCATTTTTCAACAAATGACCGGGACTAAAACATAAGTTCGTTATATCGGTCAGTTCGTTATAAACGTGTTCGTCATAAACGCAGTTTATTATATAAATTATAGAGTCCAGACAATCCAAGGATGGATATTATTAGTACATTCCTCTTGCGGGGTATGGTGACACGCAATCCACAACGTCACCGAGCTTGACCACCCCCTCTATTTAATCTCCTCTTCCATCAAGCATTTGGAATCCTTTCTGACCCGAAATTCTCATGACGACCAGAGAAGTAATATATCGATTATATTCTAACTTAATGATTACCACGAAAAGAATATTAATTTTGTTTTTTCTTCCTCTTTAGCCTGCGATGACAGCCACTGGGGTGTGAATTGCTCAAGTGAGTGCGGATGTGCCCCTCTGGGGACACAGGTCTGTAACAAGACCACGGGCTGCAGCTGCAAGAGCGGCTGGACGGGGGACAAATGTCAGAGCGATATCAATGAATGTTCCACCGCTACCTGCCAGGCAAACTCCGACTGTCAAAACACGCCTGGATCGTTTCTCTGTCAATGCCGTACAGGTTTCATAGCAAATGGAAACAGTTGTGACGGTAAGTTAAATTTTGGTATCAGCGCTGATCAGGTTGAACTCTTCATGGATGTGGGTGTTTGCAAGCAAAACTAGTTTCAACTGAAGAGAAATTCATTTCATGTGTTTAAATTCTGGAATCGTTGTCCACGACCTTCCACCATGACCCTGACCTTCACTAACTTCAGTTTGTGCTACTGGTAGGTTGTTCATATTGCCTGGATTTCAAATATGCACCTAATGGATTTGTTTAGATAGACAATTTGAACGACTTGGAGTTATTGGTTTTCCTAGCTTTTTCATCTTTACGTTGACGTGATTTTATTGAGTCATGAACAGAGCAAGTGAGCGAGTTGGATTTTAAAGTGTTTTATTCATTATTCCAACCATTTCACAGCGCGGCGGAAAGTGAAAAAAACAAGACGTACCCAAAGCCACATAAATGTATTAGAAAACATTTTTTGATAATTCCTCACTGTAACAGTTGAGCAAGACCCTATTACGTTTATTAACCTTATGTGCAGTTAATTGCTTTGAAAGGAAAGAATAAGAAATACCATTACTTCTTGCTGTCTCATGGTAATTTGTATCGCACTTGATGGAATATAGAAGTCAACGAGTGTTCGAGCAGCACGGAGAACGAGTGTGACCATGACTGCACCAACACTGTTGGCAGCTATCAGTGTTCCTGCCAACCGGGCTTTGTGCTGGAGGGGAAGGGTACTTGTAAAGGTCAGTCTTAAGTTTCTAATGAAAACATCATTTCTATTTCCGTACTGGTAGATTTACTAAGATTATTAAAATATATATAATTTTGAAATTGTTGATTTCAAAATTATGGTATATGTCTGGCACAATTATTAAATCAATACCTACAACTGTATATGTAAGTCATGAACCTATTTCCGAATGAAGCACTTTTGAAATTGACAAATACTGAAGATATCACGTAGTTTCACAAAACTGAGAACATATTACATATTTCACTCCAGATTTTATGTACCTACATATTTGGGCACCAACATTTATAACTCCGCTTATATGTCTTAATAGATATAGACGAATGCGCCCGTGGGACAAGTGGTTGTCCGCAAAAGTGTAGAAACAATCTTGGCGGATATGCATGTGAATGCTACGATGGCTATGAGCTTACACCAAACAGGTTAAATTGCATACGTAAGTATATTACATAAATAAATTATTTCTTTAATACTCTTCGGCAACAATTGCTTCCAAACAATATTACCCCTTGGGTAGAATAAGTCCAAGCCTATGGGATAGGATGGCAACAATGTAAGTCTGATTTTGCATCATCATACCATGATGACGTAGCCGGATGCTCATACTATAACTGCTGGTTAGCCCTGTCATACCTATGGAATAGCTGATACATTGCTGATTTGGGGTTAAAACGACATTAATTGAATCAGTCGCTGTGTTGGATGTTACCGAAGGCTGAACTTGCTTACTAATCAACTGTGAACACTTGTGGTGTAGATTATCACAATAAACTCAAATATTCCACTAACATCCTGTACAAATACATTTTTTTCGCATAGTGTCCATCCCTTTTACACAGCGAAACTCAGCGCTCCGACATGTATGCTATCTCACGATAACCTTTAAAGGATTTGCATGAGAATAAGGTTTATGGCTTTAGACGCTACTCGGTCTCAAACACATGTTCATAAGTAAATGAAAGTATAATAAAGGTTGACACCCTTATTACGCAGTGAAACCTGGAGCTACGACTTGCAACAGAACAGACTGCTCCGCCAACGGTGGTTGTCGTGTTGAAGGAGGAACAGACATATGTTTCTGTAACCCAGGATACCAGCTAAGTGACGCCGACAACAAAACCTGTGATGGTACGTGTACAATGTGTGTGATACAGATGCCTCGGGGGATCAACTTCCAAATCGAATTGTAACTAGATTTCTGAAGGGCCTTATGTCTTTTTAATCCAATTTTCAGAATTTTGATTCTGACAACGCTCCAGATAAAATACTGGAGTTAATTAATTTCATATTATTTCGTATTAACACCATTGTATATATCTGTTATCATAGACCGAGTGTCAATCTTACTCTGTAGGATGTAACAATTTTGTGTAATATGATAAATAAAGCTGAGAGCATAAAATTAATTAAAAACTTGATACGCTAAAAGGCGATAATGATGCGGTACCGGTTTTAGTAATCTAAATTGCATGTTATTTTCCAAAACATCTTTTATCCAACAGACATTGACGAGTGTGACGTGAATACAACGTGTTCGCAGAACTGTACGAACTCACCTGCTGGCACGTACACATGTTCCTGCTCTGATGGCTTCCAGTTGGCTGCTGACATGGCAACTTGTGGAGGTATGTAAGAGAAGTACACATGCTCTTCCTCTGATGACTGCCAGTTGGCTGCTGACATGGCAACTTGTGAAGGTATGTAAGAGAAGTACACATGTTCCTGCTCTGATGGCTTCCAGTTGGCTGCTGACATGGCAACCTGTGAAGGTATGTAAGAGACGTACACATGTTCCTGCTCTGATGACTGCCAGTTGGCTGCTAACATGGCAACCTGTGAAGGTATGTAAGAGAAGTACACATGTTCCTGCTGTGATGGCTTCCAGTTGGCTGTTGACATGGCAACTTGTTAAGGTATGTAAGAGACGGACACTGGTTCCTGCTCTGATGGCTTCCAGTTGGCTGCTGACATGGCAACTTGTGAAGGTATGTAAGAGACGTACACATGTTCCTGCTCTGATGACTGCCAGTTGGCTGTTAACATGGCAACCTGTGAAGGTATGTAAGAGAAGTACACATGTTCCTGCTGTGATGGCTTCCAGTTGGCTGTTGACATGGCAACTTGTGAAGGTATGTAAGAGACGGACACATGTTCCTGCTGTGATGGCTTCCAGTTGGCTGCTGACATGGCAACCTGTGAAGGTATGTAAGAGAAGTACACATGTTCCTGCTGTGATGGCTTCCAGTTGGCTGCTGACATGGCAACCTGTGAAGGTATGTAAGAGAAGTACACTTGTTCCTGCTGTGATGGCTTCCAGTTGGCTGCTGACATGGCAACTTGTGAAGGTATGTAAGAGACGTACACATGTTCCTGCTGTGATGGCTTCCAGTTGGCTGCTGACATGGAAACCTGTGAAGGTATGTAAGAGAAGTACACTTGTTCCTGCTGTGATGGCTTCCAGTTGGCTGCTGACATGGCAACCTGTGAAGGTATGTAAGAGAAGTACATATGTTCCTTCTGTGATGGCTATCAGTTGGCTGCTGACATGGAAACCTGTGAAGGTACGTAAGAGAAGTACACTTGTTCCTGCTGTGATGGCTTCCAGTTGGCTGCTGACATGGCAACTTGTGAAGGTATGTAAGAGAAGTACACATGTTCCTGCTGTGATGGCTTCCAGTTGGCTGCTGACTTTGCAACCTGTGAAGGTATGTAAGAGACGTACACATGTTCATGCTGTGATGGCTTCCAGTTGGCTGCTGACATGGCAACTTGTGAAGGTATGTGAACGAAGTGCATTTGCTCTTCCTTTGATGGCTTCCAGTTGGCTGTTGACATGGCAACTTGTGAAGGTATGTGAGCGAAGTACACATGCTCTTTCTCTGTTGGCTTCCAGTTGGCTCCTGACATGACTACTTGTTAAGGTATGTGTGCTGAGAATACAGATATTCATATAAAATTTTATAGTGGTCAGTGGTAGACCACCGTGTTTGATTGGTCGTACTATGGCCTCACCAGCATCATTAATAAAGAAGACTTCAAACTCCACATGCAGTAAAACTTTCTATCCTCTCCAGCATGCCCTGAAGGAAAGTATGGATCCAACTGTGCTCAAAACTGCAGCTGTGACGCCACAAACACCATCAGCTGTAACGCAACTGACGGCAGCTGTAGCTGTAGGACTGGATGGAATGGAACGACGTGCACGGAGGACGTACCAGAGTGTACCGAAACTCCCAATATCTGCGGCACCAACGGCGTGTGTAACGAGAGGAACGGTTCCTATTCCTGCACTTGCCAACCAGGATACATCAGAGCTGGAGATGCATGTAGTCGTAAGTACTATAGTAAATAACTGCATAAAAATTGCCATGAACTATAATGAAAATATTTTTTCATATTATTTAATTTATTTTCTATTTACATGGCAAAACAGGAACAGATTAATTGTCAGCTCATACGATATATGCAAAGCTAAGTACGTTTTAAAAACACTCTCAATTGTATCTTAGGCTTTCAATAAAGCATGGTTCATAGTATCACTTTCTGAAATTGTTTTGTACGGGTAAGCAATTTGTTGGAACAAAAAAATATGCTTGAATAATCACTTATCAATATCGACCCAACCGTTCATGTTTTATAGCAAACTAACTAGGTGGTTATAAAAGTAGACATTGGAAATGTTTTAGATGGGCAATAAAACCTATCCATACGCCCTCTCTTTTCCCAAAATGCGTCAAAGTTCATATCATGGTATTGGAATTTTAATGTACGGACCTCTTGGTAATTTCTTTGATGTATGGAACTTGTACTTTCATTATTGCCGCTCCCGTACTTTGTTGTCATTGATGGCCACGTGCTTGTAAATACAACGTTCCTAATCCAATTGTGAATGAGTGAATACCGATTATATAGTGCTATCCCACTGAGATATCACACCGCAGTTAAACAATATACCACACTCATACACAGTATACTACTCCGAGCCGACTGGTCCTTGTTTTAGCCCCTGAATTCCAAGCGCAAGGCAGAGTAATAACAAGTACCATTTCTAACGTCTTTTGGTATGCCGCTCTCTGGGCAGAGGCTCTACCACTAGACCACGGAGAAGATGTAATTAAAATAAAAACTGTTATAAGCTTATTGTGTTACATGTATATATATATGGTTACGACAATTTTTCAGAATGCACTTCGACAACATTTGGGGTAAACTGTGCAAGTCAATGCACGTGTACTTTCGCCAACACAGCGTTCTGTAACTTTGTCGATGGATCATGCACGTGCAACACAGGCTGGAATGGCACCAACTGTGAGACTAACGTCAACGAGTGCTCAGCCGACCCACCTGCATGTAGCGGCGCTAATGAGACGTGTCGAGACACTTCTGGCAGCTTTGCGTGTGACTGTGAAGCGGGGTTCCAGAAATCCCCCGACAATACTCAATGTATTGGTAAGTGTAGCGATAGAGTTATAGAAATTGTTTAATGCCAGGGTCATCAGCAGCTCACAGCAACCAGTTGATAATCTGCCAGGAGGCTTGTGGTTCAGACACTACACACAACGGCGGATAATGATTTTTAGATTT